ATAAGTACATGAATAAGAAATGTTTGGAGGGATAAGGGCCAGGAGCAGGTAGGTGGGACTAGTTTACTTTGGGTTTATGGTCAGCATGGACTAGTTGGGCCGAAGGGTCTGTTTCCGTGCTGTATGACTCTGACTCTATGCAAGATGGCCTTGGCTCCTTAGATAGTCCTAGACCTTCCTGAGAAACATTCGTGCATTTAATTAGGACTTCACTCAGCCAGCCATTTTCTAAATGAGAAATGTTGAGCCAATCAAGGTGAATCTTTCTCGACAAATTTCACCCCAGCAGCAAAACCCCAAAACAAAGCCAAGCCTCGGTAAATGGTTAGCGTTTTCTTCAGGATTTGGGCCAGTAAGCCATTGTAGTTGCTGCCGAAATGTGGATTTGAGACAGCAAGGATCCCACTAAGCCTGAATTGAGTTAGAAAACTGATAGGCCTGTATCCAGGAGAGTGCACACCATGGAAATTCCACCTACATCTGGTTTGGAACAGTTAAATCACTTAGCAATATTCAAATCAGAACCAATCAAATTTCTGATGAAGGGTCTAGGCCCGAAACGTCAGTCTTCCTGCTCCTATGATGCTGCTTGGCCTGCTGTGTTCATCCAGCTCTACATCTTGTTATCTCAGATTTTCCAGCATCTGCAGTTCCTACTATCTCTGATACAATTTTAACCCCACTGAGAAGCCTCATTTCTGATGAAGGGTCTAGGCCTGAAACGTCAGCCTTCCTGCTCCTATGATGCTGCTTGGCCTGCTGTGTTCATCCAGCTCTACACCTTGTTATCTCAGATTTTCCAGCATCTGCAGTTCCTACTATCTCTTAGAGTAAAGAGACATGGGCACCTTTTAAAAATAGGAACACAGATTAAATACTGGAGATCCTGTTCCTTGTAATTAGAGCGTAGACATCAAAAACAACCCTCTAAAAATTATCAGTTCAACTACAAGTGAAATGTTGTCAAGTTTTGGCTGTCTTGACCATGAAGGAAGAATAGAAGAAATATAATAGGATACATCAAGGGACAAAGGCTTATGTTTTCAAATCAGCCTGTTCAGAGATGTTATTACACACCTAGGGAACAGGTGGGACATGAACTGGCTCAGAAGTAGGGACACTACCACTGTAATGCAAAAGGGACGCCTTATTATGAGGAGGGGCTAAATAAGATGTTAGTTCTCTTTTAAGAAAAGTTAAACCAAAGGTCAGGTGGAGAACTGGTAAAGATACTCAAGTTAGTGAGAAGTTTTGATTAGATAACTTTTCTCACTATTCGGCGAGTTGGTAACTGACAGTGATAAATTTAAAGTTCATCATCAAAAAAATGGATGGTGAGTTTAGAAGAGTTTCTGTTTGTAGAAAGTATATCTTACCAGAAAGTTTGGAAGCCAAATCCACTTTCTTTAATAAAAAGAGGTGATTGGTGATAATTCTTTGAAAGAATAAATTATTAAAGGCTATAAAGAAATGGCAACAAAATGAGACTGAGTGAACAGCTGGATTGGACACCAAAGATTCACTGGCTTTCTTCTGTCTGATTACTTCTTTTTTAACCATTCTGTAGTTCCAGGAATGCTGAGTACTTTGAAAATTTTGTACTTTTCAAGATACTGATAGAAATTTCACATGCTTTTTAATCTTTCTGGATGTTGTACCAATAGATTCTCCTGTCCCTTGGAAATTAATGCTTAATTTGTCTCATTTGACTACGAATGTCTCCATTTTCTTATATCTATGTGCAATGGACTTTATTTGGCTGGTTTGTAACCCCATCTACTTTACTGATGACTGTTCCCTATGGGATATTCACTGCATCACCACTATTCCCCAGTCCACAGTTTAACAAAAGCAAAATACTGCAGATGCTGGAAATCTGAAATAAAAGCAGAAAATTCTGGAGAATCTCAGCAGGTCTGGCAGCATTGGTGGACAGAGAAATCAAGTTAATGTTTCATAGAGTCGTACAAAACAGAAACAGACTGTTCAGTTCAAGTAGTCAACGCCGACCTTAATACCAAACTAAACTAGTTCCACCTGCCTGCACTTGGTCCATATCCCTCCAAACATTTCTTATTTTTTTTCTTTATTCATTCACAGGATGAGGGAGTCACTTGCTAGGCAGCATTTATTGCCCATCTCTATTTGCCCAGAGGGCAGCTAAGAGTCAACCACATTGCTGTGGGCCTGGAGTCACATGTAGGCCAGACCAGGCAAGGATGGCAGTTTCCTTCCCTAAAAGACATCAGTGAACCAGATGGTCAATTGACAATGGATTCATGGTCATCATTAGATTGTTAATTCCAAATATTTGTTGAATTCAAATTCCACCATCTGCCATGGCACGATTTGAACCCCTGGACCCCAGAACATTATCTGGATTAACAGTCCAGTGATAATACCACTAGGCCATTGCCTCAACTATTCATGTACTTACTGAAACGTCTTTTAAATGTAGTAACTGTGCCCACATCCAGCACTTTCTCTAGATGTTCATTCCACACATGAACCACTCTCTGTGTAAAAAAGTTGCCCCTCATGTCTTTTTTGAATCTTTCTCCTCTCAGCTTAAAAATATGTCCTCTAGTCTTGAAATCCCCCACTTTGGACAAAGACACCTGCCATTCACCTTATTTATACCCCTCACAATTTTATAAATCTTTAAAACAATTCCTCAACCTCCTACACCCACATGAAAAAAGTCTCGCTGCCTATCCAGACTCTCCTTATAACTCATACACTTAATTCCTAACAACATCCTGGTTAATCTTTTCAGAACCCTCTGCAGCATAATAGTACCCTACCTACAGAAGAACAACCAGAACTGGACACAGTACTCCAGAAGAGGACTCACTAATGTCCTCTACAACCTCAATGTGCAAGTCCGGTATAACTCTTCTTCCATTGTGGACTTGAAATGTTAACTCAGGTTCTCTCTCCACAGATGCTGCCAAACCTACTGAGTTCCTCCAGCACTTTCTGACTTCCCCAGTATAACATTGGCTTTCTATTGCATATTCCCTGATATTTCTGGTCTTTCCTAACAGTTTCCCACATTGCTGCTTTTGTTTCTGATAAATGTTTATGGCAGGAACTAATATCAGCTCATGAGAGTTATTGTATTTTTTTACGTATTAGTATAACTTTGACAACTAATCAATGGCAAATCATCCAGCTCCTGACCTCTGGGCCCTGCCTTCTCCTTAGGAAGTTGCACCTAGTGCCTTTTGCAGTTGGGGCCGCAGCTGTGGTTTGGCTTTTAACTGGTGGCGGCGCATTCATGGTCCACCAGCAGTGGTTACAACATACCTTGGAATGTGCCAAAGGCGCTTTATTAACGAATTTTTTTTCGTATCAGCAGTAAATCTCAGCAGGACTCTAGTAATGCTGATGCAGTCCTGGTCTTTATGGAACATCGTTTTCCTTCCCACTTTGTCCTGGAAAGTTCCCAATTGAACACTCCTTGTCCCCTTCCATATCTGATGCTTAAACCAGTTCACATATTTTGCCATTCTTTCTTGTTTTATGAAACGTTTAGCAACACATAATCCTCCTAATGGATAACGGATGATCGGATATGCTACAGCACAGATGTTGGGAGGGAGTGATTGTTATGGGGAGTGGATTGATCCAGATGTGACTGTGCTGGAAATGGAGAGGCTGTTTGCGCTTCATATTCAATCCGGGAGGTAAAGGGGTAAACGGTTTGGACAACTGGGGTGACTAGGAGTAGAGGTTTGGTGGGGTGGGGGTGGGGGAAACAGGTGTGTGAATGAACAGCTTTGGATCTCGCTGGGTTCAGAGCTCCGTTGACACCGTGCTGTGCAGACCACCACCTCGACTGCCTGGGTAATGGAAAGACGGCTCGGTTTACTCAGTGCTTGCTATGCCAGCAATTGCTGGAAATTTTTAGAGACACAAAAAATAATGCACGTGATGCCCGCGCTTCTATGATTTCACCCCCAAATCCCGTCCCTTTCCATTCTCTGTCAAAGAGTCTGACTTTTGGAGCAACGGTTCCCAGGCGGCCAGGTCCTGTAATAAGTGCTTCAGTGCTCTAATTGCGAGTGATTCTGTGGTCAAATCCGTTTAACAGCGTGACACGATGGATGTGATCAGTTTATAGTGCCCACTGTAATCTGCTGATGCAATAAACTCTCTGTCTCTCTCTCGCCCCCCTCCCCCCCGCTCCCATAACATCTGGATCGTGAGTCTCTGTTTGCCGTGAATACACGCAGCTTAAAAGTGCATATGTAACGTGTGAACGTGGGGAGTGTTTCAGGAATGGATTGTGCACTGGGTGTTTGCATTGGGCCTGTCTTTTGCAATGCAATACTATTTCCTTTATTTGTGCAAATGCGCGGATTGCATTCGCTCCTGCGCTTTGGGGGTGGGGGTGGAAAGAGGGATTGCAGGGTTTTGTTTTGTGGTAGCTGGTGTCTATAGGAGTGGCTGACCCTCTCCTCCCTGTGTGTGTGTGTGTGTAGTGAAGGTGTAGTCAGCAGTGGTGAGAGCTGCTCGATTGGCGCAGGCTCACAGTCTGTTTGACGTCAGTGTGGGTTTGGGACTGGCGCACTCTGTGTCTCTCCCTCCATTGTGAGCAGATCAACGATGCGATCGGCCTGAACCTCTGCCACTGCCGCCGCCGCCCAGTCCCACAGCCGGCCAGAGCCCCCTTGTCCCTCCCCTCTCTCTCACACCCCTCCCTGGTGAGACCTGCAACAACAACCATCAAATCCTCCCCTCATCCCTTCCACAATCTCACACTCACTCTCTCCTCCTGCCCATCCAGACGGTGAAGGTAAAGAAACCAGCCCCGTCCCCCTCCGCCTCCCAGTCCACCTCCACACCCACTGGCTTTGGATGTGCGATTAAAATCCCCGGCGTCTCCAACCGAGGGTTCAGTCCCAGAGAGTGAGTGAGTTGAGTTGAGAAGGCCAGAGCTTGTGCTACTTTCCAGCAGCAACCATGGGATGTACAATGAGCGCCGAGGAGAGGGCAGCCATGGAGCGGAGCAAAGCCATCGAGAAAACCATCAAGGAGGATGGCATTAGCGCCGCCAAGGATGTCAAGCTGCTGCTTCTCGGTAAGAGCCCGGTCTCTCTCTCTCTCTTCCCTTTCCTTCCCGCCCCTGGCTGCCTCGTCAGGCGGATTGGAGGCTCCCCCTCGGCCGGCTGGTCTGCCCGCTGCCCTACTCCTCCACACCCCCCCCGCTCCTTTCATCTCTTCACATTTTTCCCTCCCCAACCCTACTTTCTTTCACATTTTCTCCCTTTTTTTCTTTCATTTTCCCACAGGGGCGGGAGAATCGGGGAAAAGCACCATCGTAAAGCAAATGAAGTAAGTGGTTTTTTTTCTTTTTAAAAACATTCAGTTTCTATTGATTTTAATAACGCACTTCTCTCCCTAAGCCTCATTTTAAGTCGAGACTGTATCTTGAGGTTAGATGTATATTAATGACAGGAGACCGCCATATTTAAGTGCTATAGTCTCAAGCCTCCTATCTCCAACATATTGATGGTTCTGGTGGAAGGATTGTCACTCTTTCCAACATGTGCAGTCTGGTTATTCGGATTATATTTTTCAGGGGGGTGGACTTTATTTTTCTGAATATCTCTTTCTTTGGAAAAGGGGTGTGGGTCAGATCTATTTGTACTGGAGCCCTTGTCACCACAGGAGTAGCTGAGACTTCGCTTCGGAGGAGGGGCGCGGGTATGCATGTGTGTCTTAGAGGGTGGTGAGGAGAGAGAGAATCATCGCCAGCTACCAATTAACCTTTAATGCCAAGCTTTCATCTTTCAGCATTTTTTCTGTCATGTTTGATCGATTGAAACCGGCTGCGAGGCCAGTTATGTGGGATTTTTTTTTAATTACATTTTAAATGCGGATGTAAACAGACGGACGGCAGGTTGAACACTTGCCATTTTCACCGAGATCTAACGATTCACTGTTATAAATAATCAGTCAGAATTCACTTGGGGGTCTCAATAACTAGCGATCTTCTCATTGCTTGAGATTACCTGGATCACACAGCGGTTTGGTCCCACCCTTCCATATTCCATCCCCCGTGTTTTTTTTTTTGAAGACAGTATGGCATGCTCACAATTTGAAGGAGGAAAGGAAATGTATTTTAATGATAGCACAAGTACAAACAAGTTATCACTGTGCAAGGATGATTCCAGCCTCTCTATTGATCTGTTATATTGACCAATGTCTTTCTGTTATGTACATGAGTGTTCTGTGTGTAATTCACTAAAAAAAAGTTGTTAGGCACTAAAAATAACCAGCAACTAACAGTATGTTGGCCTTTACCTCAGGGATTCTGCAATACAAAAGCGAGGATACAATGTTCAGAAGATGTTATCTCCTGAACAAAGCCTTGGAGAGACCCCATTTGGTGTGCTGTGTTTGACTCCAGCCATTCCCATTCTGGAGGGGAGTAGGGTTCTTGAAGAGAATGTAGTATACATTTACCAGAATGGAACTGAGGCTTAAAGAGTTAACACATAAGGACAGGTTGCATAAACTTGGCTTGCATTCCCTTGAGTTTAGACAGTTGAATGGTCTGATTGAGATGTTTAAAATAACAAAAGGATTTAAAAGGGTAGGTACGAAGGAACTATTCCCTTGGGTAAGGTAATGTAAAACAAGAGGGCACAGTTTTAAAATTATATAAGGCCTTTTCTGAATTGAAATCAAGAACCACCTTTTCATGTAAAGATTAATCCAGAGCACCCTTCCCCAGACAGCTGTAAATTCTCAGACAGTCAAAATTTTCAAGACTGTATTTGGTAGGCTGGCATTGGGCAATGGGATGAAAATGTAGATCAAAGGCTGATAAATGAAGCTGAGGATTAGATGATTGAATGGCAGAAGATGCTTCAGAATTTGGGTCTGCTTTTGCTGTCATCCATGACTGACGCAGCCTGCATATTATAGCTCGTGTCTGTGTATTTTTTTGTTACTACATATGTATTGACTTAGAGTGGAATACCACCGGTACAATAGATTATTTCTATGTATCATAACCCAGATCAACCAATTTCATATGTAACTGGTTGGATGTGTGAACCAGAGTCTATCAAAGTCAAGTTTGTAGTCCAAAAGTGAAGGTGCTCCAGCTTGGATCTGCATCTTTGTGTTGGGCTTTAGGTTGGTTCAAAGTGGTTGGCTTCTGATGCAAGTTTGGTTTGTGCAATCTGACTTGGAATCGGTGCAGAGTTGGTGAATGGGACCTGAGCTGGTGTCATACAGTATGGGTTGTGGGAGTTCTGGCTGGTGTTGGTATAAAATGACCTGGGTCTGTTTTCCAACCCAGGTTGGTTTATTTTGAGTCAAGATTCAGGTTTTTAAGCTTGAGTGCATTCACACCTTCAACGTCATCAGTATGTACCCCTGCATCCATCCATTCATCTTCTGCAACCTTTGTCCATACCATTGTTGCTATAACAATCTTTCCTGGCCCACCTTCTCTTGTGTTCTACTCTCCTTGAACTTGAGATCATCCAATGATCCAATGTTGTATCCTCATTCTTAGTTAGTCTTATTCACTCATCCTTGCAGTCTTCCCTGGTCCAAATTGACTCCCAATTTGGCAATACCTTATTCATTGTCATTGAATGATTTCCTACACAGGAGGGTGTAATGCAGTCTGTAAGTCCATACTGGTTCCCCGCGGGATAGTTCATACCCACTTCCTCGATCCTCATAGCCCCACAGGTTTATTTCCATCAAGGACTCATGGCATTTCCATTTGAAATTGTTGACTTGTTTCTGTTTCCACCACCTTCCTTTTAGAATTCTCATCCTTCAATTTCAAATCCCTCAGTGGCCTTGTTCCTCCCAGTAGCCGTCTTCTTTCTTTCAGCCCCACAGCGCTTGGAATCCATTCTGCAGTAATTCTAGCTGCTTTGAGTTGCCCAGACTTTGATTGGTAATTGTACATTCAGTTGGTGAAGCCCAGAGCCCTGGCATTCTCTCCCCTGAACCCATGCCCAGCCCCTATCCTCTCCCTGCATCCCGACCTCCCATACCTTCCTTTAAAGCGCTCACCTTAAAACTTATCTCCTTGACCAAGTCTTTAGTGACTTGCTCTGAAACCACTTCATGTTGAAGGCGCTACGTAAAGGCAGCGTCTTGTTAGGTTTTGGGCTCAGGCTGTGGTGGTGAAGCCCCAGTTCTTGCCTGGAGCGCAGGGTCGGCTTGAAAACCAGTGTCAGGAGCCCCAGGATGGGTTGGGGTGGGGCGGTGGGGGGAAACGGAGCTGAGCCGCCTGGCCGCCCGGGTAGCTCAGTCCGAGCGGGAGCCGCCGAGCTCTTTCCCCGAGGCGGCCTCAGGGTGCAGCTGAGAGCCGGGGCCGCCGAGCGCTTTTCAGGCGCTTTGGCTGGTGGACAGCGCCCAGTCGGGAGAGAGGCTGCAGGCGGGTTCGGGAGAGCTCGGGCGGACTCGGCTCATGGGGAGGGCAGTGGGTCAATGCATCTATCGGTCTCCCCGGGATTGGGGAGCTGTCCCAGTGGTGACCGCTGCCCAGGCACATTGCCATTTATTTTTTTTGTTGTTGTTGGCTTGTCAAGTGCCCGACCTTTGGAAGGTTTTAGTCCCGTTACCATCAAGGCGCCTTTTCGCTTCTTTGGCCGGCAGTGCTGCAGGATTGGCTCACTGTCATCACCACCACAACAAGAGAAACGCTGGAGCAAGGTTTTTCGGAGGCAGATGCTGGAATGTTGAAATTTGGGATTCATAATTCTTCCAGTCACTGGTTGATTGGTGGGAAAGGTGGAACAGCTCAGAAGTGAAGCCCTCCTATGCTTTTCTTGTGTAGAAGGAGCCCAATGTTAATTTTTTATTGGTGTCCGGAAGGATCAGGAACAATATCTCTGCAGTTAGTTCCTGTAGCTGCTACATAACGGTGAGACTCATGTGCAGTTTTGCTACCAAAACTGAGACGTCATCATCAGCAATTTATGCAACAGCTTGCATTTATATGGCATTTCTGGCATGGTGCAATGAACTAATAAATGCCATGCAATTCCGAAATGTAAATAGTATTCATACAGTTCAAACTAAATGAAATAGATTCATATATTTTACTGCATATTTTAATTATAGCAAATTAATTTGTGCCATGCTGTCAGCTATCTAAAATAAATGAAATATCTATAAAACAGATTCCTCAATTGAATGTGATATTGTGAAGAATGTGTGCATAGGTGTCACAGGTTCGGATGACACTGGTAAATCAGTATAGATTTGCAATCATTGTTCTAGTTGTGAAGTATGTTCAGTGTGTCACTAGTTTGTAACACACTCTTTGTAGTATAGTGTTTCGTGAGCAATGATAATCGTGTGATCCATACAGAAATTGAGAATTCAAAGGCTGTTTGAACAAACTGGACACGATAATTTATCTCAAACATTGAAAGTGTATTTAGATATAAAAATTATTCCACCGGGAATGATGTGCTGGCAATGGCATTAAACTAATCATCGTTAACTGAATAACTCTCAATTCTCCAGCATACTTCAGTTTTAGAATAAGAAGATGGCAAATAAGGAACATTCCTATGGTGCGAGAGATTGACAGTTCTTAAGAATAATTTATCGTTCATAGCTGAACTGTCAAAAAAATAGACAAAATTCATAAAATATTTGGATTTAAAGGCAGCACAATAGCTCAGTGGTTAGCACAGTTGCCTAATCGTGCCAGGGACCTGGGTTTGATTCCAGCCTTGGGTGACTGTCTGTGTAGAGTTTGCATGTTCTCCCTGTGTCTGCGTAGGTTTCCATCGAGTACACCAAAATTGCACAGTTTAGGTGGATTGGCCATTATAAATTGTCCATAGTGTCCAGAGGTATGCAAGTTGGGTAGATTAGTTATGGTAAATGTGGAGTCGGGGGGATAGGGTTGGGGGCAGGGTGTTCTTTTGAAGGGTTGGTGCTAACTCAGTGGGCTGAATGGCCTGTTTCCACATTGTAGGGATTCTGTGATTTATTCAGACATTAGCTGATTGGCAGAGAGTAACTACAGACCCAAATACTGGTCTTGGTCTCCTCAAGATTGAATCCTGTTTATTCAATAATGTGTCAGATTAGAGTAAATTTGAGTGTTTAGTGTAGAATACCCATTGATTTCCTTCCAATGATATTTGAAAAGCCATATGTGGGAGATGTATATGTCACAGTTGATAGATGCTGGGAGGTGTCCTGGTGCACACAAAAAAAAATTCTGGTGTCCCCAAACATTTGAAGATGCAATAATAAAACATGCACATTTTTGGAACAGAGCAGTGCCAGTGTTGGAATCATAATTTCTATCTAGGTGGATCAAATGACAGAAGCAA